GATTTTAGATATGTTCTGATGCCCCCAGCACCCTGGATCCCAAATATGTTCCCTGGCCTTAAGGGCTTCCCATCTGGCCTCTTGAATCCAGTTTATAACCAGGGCACGTCCTTCTTTGCTTAGCTACCCCCCAGACATGTGCCGTTTCTTCTAATTTCATCTTGCTTCTATTTCTTTATCCAAGTCTGAGTTTGTAATCATCTCCTCTGACTGTGAAGTTGAGTGGCTTTTACCTAACAATTGTTCTTTTTTTTTTTTTCTTAAATTTTTAAATGTTTATTTATTTTTGAGGGAGAGGGGCAGAGACTGAACAGTGGGGGGTCTGAGAGAGGGGGAGACACAGAATCCGAAGCAGGCTCCAGGCTCCGAGCTGTCAGCACACAGCCTGACGCGGGGCTCGAATTCACGAACCGTGAGATCATGACCTGAGCCGAAGTAGGACACTGAACCAACTGAGCCACTGAGGTGTCCCTACCTAACTGTTGTTCTTATCCTCAGTCCAGACTGCTCCCCTTAACATAGTCACATACGAAATCATACAGATAACAGCCTAAGGGAGTGGTTTCACACATGCACAAGGTGGGGGGGGGGGGGGGGGGGGGGGGCTTTACTTTCCCTCAGAGAGGAACAACATCTCTGACATCTACCACTGGGCCTCTTTTAGGACAACTGTCTGAATTTTTTAAGATTATGGGCCCAGTGGTTCAAACCCGTCTATCTAGACAGGACTGATACCATCACAGGTGATGCAAGTGGAATGTTGACATTAAAAATAAATACAGGGGCGCCTGGGCGGCTCACTTGGTTGAGCGTTCAGAGTTTTGGTTTCGGCTCAGGTCATGATCTCACAGTTCGTGGGTTCAAGCCCCGCGTCGGGCTTTGCGCTGACAGTGTGGAGGCTACTTGGGATATTGTCTCCCTCTTTCTCTACCTTCCCCCACTCATGCTCTCTCTCTCTCTCAAAATAAATAAACTTTAAAAATAGACAGATAGATAGATAGATAGATAGATAGATAGATAGATAGATAGATACAAGCAAAACAAAAACACCTCCTAACTCGGTGTAACAGGAGGCAGGCCAAGTAGAAGCATCAATACCTTCTCAAGGGAGGGTAGCATGGGAAACATGGGCACAGCTCCTGGACGGACCTCTGGCCCATCTGTGAGAACTGCAGACCCCATTCTTGTCTCTTTCTTCCACACCACCCACAGGGTTTTTTCTTGGCTATCGAGAACGCTCCTCTTTTGCCAAGTTAAAGGAAAAGTGATCGCACTATCAAACTATCAAGATGCACTTCAGAGGGTTTCAGTGCCCTGCCATTTATAAGACAGGAAAACCAGACTACACGCCCATGTATGTCACTATCAGGGTCAAAAACCTAAGAACACGTATATACTCGATTTCCATTTTCTAGGATATATATTCCTTTGAGTTCTAATATAAGAGAAACATTATCTCGCTCAAGATAGTCATCCCATTTCTAGGTAAGTTTTACTGATGCATTTATTTTTTTATTTTTATTTTTTTTTTAATTTTTTTTTAACGTTTATTTATTTTTGAGACAAAGAGAGACAGAGCATGAGCGGGGGAGGGTCAGAGAGAGAGGGAGACACAGAATGGGAAGCAGGCTCCAGGCTCTGAGCCATCAGCCCAGAGCCCGACGCGGGGCTCGAACTCACGGACCGCGAGATCGTGACCTGGCTGAAGTCGACGCTTAACCGACTGCGCCACCCAGGCGCCCCTTACTGATGCATTTAAACTTCATAAACATGAAATTCTCATCCAGTCATTGGCTTAAAACCCTTCGTGAGCTTCCCATGCCCTTAGAGTCAGGTTTCAATTCTTTCCCGTGGGGCCGTATCTTACACCACTCATCCCTTACTTTTCACACTGAGTCTCTAATGCAGATAAACCCTCCTGGGCCGTTCCCTGGGAACACTTCTCCAGCCGGGTCAGGTGTCCATAGGACCTGTTCACTTCCTCTATAGTAGCTGCACATTTGCAATCACTTAATTAATTATGTGAAGTAATTTGGGGGGCGGGCATATCTAGTTAGTTCACATCTACGTCCCCACTATCTAGTGTACAGAAGGCACTCAAAAATATTTGCTGGCTGACTGGAGCGCCTGGATGGCTCAGTTGAACATCTGACTCTTTTTACATTTCTTTTTAATGTTTATCTATTGTAGAGGGAGACAGAGCATGAACGGAGGAGGGGCAGAGGGAGATACAGAATCTGAAGCAGTTTCCAGGCTCTGAGCTGTCAGCATAGAGCCTGACGCAGGCCTCAAACCCACGAGCCGTGAGATCATGACCTGAGCCGAAGTCAGACGCTAACCACCTGAGTCACCCAGGTGCCCCTAAACATCTGACTCTTGATCTCAGCTCAGGTCGTGATCTCATAGTTTGTGACATGGAGCCTTGCACCGGGCTCTGCAATGACAGCGTGGAGGCTGCTTGGGAATCTCTCTCCCTCTCTCTGCCCCTCCCCTGCTTGCACTCACTCTCCCTCTCTCTCTCTCTCTTTCTTTCTCTCTCAAAATAAATAAACTTAAAGAAAATTGTTGGCTGACTGATTGGCTTCTTACCTTTTGGAGTATGTGTGAATTTAATCTTAGTTGTAGGAGTTGAGCCCCCTTTGAGAATTGATACACTATTAATTGTCTCCTTAAGATGAGTGATTCTTTGTGTTTGTTTGTTTTAAGAATTACATGGCTGATACAACCCAACACCAAAAAATAACCTGATTAAAAAATGGGCAAAGGACCTGAATAGACATTTTCCTAAAGAAGACATACACATGGCCAATAGACGCATGAAAAGATGCTCAACATCACTAATGCGAATCAAATACAAATGAGAATCAGATTTGATTCGCACAAATGCAAATCAAAACCACAATGAGATATCACCTCACCCCTGTCAGAATGGCTAAATTAAAAAGATAAGCAACAACAAGTGCTGACAAGGATCTGGAAAAAAGGTATGCTTGTGTACTGTTGGTGGATAAACCAGTACAGATAAACCGGAACGGCCACTGTGGAAAACAGTATGGAAGTTCCTCAAAAAGTTAAAAACAGAAATACCACAGGATCCAATAATATCACTATTGGGTATTTACCCAGAGAAAACAAAAACACTAACTTGAAAAGATATATGCACCCCTATGTTTACTGCAGCACTATTTACAACAGCCAAGATATTGAAGCAACCTAAGTGTCCATCAACAGATGAATGGATAAAGAAAATGTGCCAAATACACACACGTACATATACACCCATACCTACATACATGCACGCACAATGGAATATTACACAGCCATAAAAAAGGAAGAGATCATACCATCTGAGATAACATGGATGGATCTAGAGGTTATTACGTTAAGTGAAATAAGTCAGACCGAGAAAGACAAAGACCATATGATTCCACACATAAATGGAATATAAAAAAAGAAAGAATAAACAATCAAAAATCAGAATCAGACCTATAAATAAAGAGAACAAACCAATGGTTGCCAGAGGGGAGGGGATAGGAGGGTTGATTGAGCAAAATGAGTGGAGGGGAGACGGATACAGGCCTCCAGTTATGGAATGAGTAAATTACAAGAATGAAAAGCACAACTTAAGGAATACAGTCAATGATACTGTAACAGGGATGTAATGGGACAGATGACAGCTATACTTGTGAACATAGCATAAGGAATAAACGTATCAAATCACCAAGCTGTACTACACTTGAAAGTAACATTGTGTGTCAACTAGATTCAAAAAAAAGAAAGAGAGGGAGAGAGAGAGAGAAATTAAGTCAAGTAAAAAGTAGCTCAGGGGCGCCTGGGTGGCTCAGTTGGTTAAGCATCCAACTCGATTTCCGCTCAGGTCATGATCTCACCATTCACGAGATCAAGCCCCACATCGGACTCTGAGCTGACAGCACGGAGCCTGCTTGGGATTCTCTCCCTCTTTCTGTGCCCCTTCCCTGCTCTCCCTCTCTCAAAAATAAACGAATAAACATTTTTAAAAAGTAGCTCATAATTTAAATAAAATTAAACTTTTGAGATTCTTTTTTTTTTTAAGTAGGCTTCATGCTCAGTATGGAGCCTAACGTGGGGCTTCAACTCACAACCCTGAGATCAAGACCTGAACTGAGATCAAGAGCTGGATGCTTAACTGAGAGCCATCCAGGTGCCCCTGAACTTCTGAAGTTCTTAAAAAAAAAGAAAGAAAGAAAGAAAGAAAGAAAGAAAGAAAGAAAGAAAGAAAGAAAGAAAAGGATTATATGGGAGAATTTAGGAACAAAAAGAAGTAGCTGAAAAAGACACTATGTGTGTGGGCAGACCCACGTGACTTTAGTCCCCAGGTGACCCAGCATGGCCTGAGACAGAGAGAGGCCTCTCCTCCCATGATTAGAACCTATCAGTGGCAATGGAAGGCTACTTCTAGTGGCTTCACAGGGTTGGACACAAGTCAGGAAGAGCCATAGCGAGAACGGAAGTAATGGCGGACAATGTAGCCGACAGGTAGAATCCTTTGCAAGCATGTCTGAAACTCTTCGGTCCTTCCACCCTGCAAAAAAACCCAAGACAGGAAGGAGCAGGACTATGGTACAGCAATCAAGTCCCAGGTCAATGTACCACTCTAATTTGGGCATTTAAGATTAACATGAGGGGCACCTGGGTGGCTCCGTCAGTTACGCGTCCGATTTCAGCTCAGGTCATGATCTCACAGCTCGTGAGTTCGAGCCCTGTGACAGGCTCCGTGCTGACAGCTCAGAGCCTGAACCTGCTTCGGATTCTGTGTCTCCCTCTCTCTCTCTCCCCCTGCTCCACCACTCATTCTCTCTCTCTTTCTCAAAAAGAAAAACAAAAGATTAACAAGAGCTTAATTCTCCATGCATGCAAAAAGCCTACACGTGCTGGCGAGTACAAATTCATGGCATATACCTCATAATAGAGCCTGAGATACGATTCTACTACTGAGGCGTCTCTATTCTAGCACAAACCTCTTCCATATTTGTTTTCATCAGTCCCATGTAAGATCCAGTCAAAATTATTCGCACAGATAGACTCCACATGGGCGCGGCTTGTGGCACAAAACAGGATGTTTTCCCTTTTGTTGTTCATCTTCATTTTCTTCCTAATGAAGGAAATGTGAGACTTAACGCCCAGAGCATTCCTCTCCCCACTCCAGTTAATGACATTAATCCCAAACCAAAGTCGAATTGCCTTAAAATTTTCTTGTTCCAGCTACAAAAAAAGTAAATTTATGAAAACTTTTAAGTGACAGACACATCTGGGGCGCCTGGGTGGCTCAGTCGGTTAAGCGTCCAACTTCGGCTCAGGTCATGATCTCGCGGTCCGTGAGTTCAAGCCCCGCGTCGGGCTCTGTGCTGGCAGCTCGGAGCCTGGAGCCTGTTTCAGATTCTGTGTCTCCCTCTCTCTCTCTGACCCTCCCCCGTTCATGCTCTGTCTATCTCTATCTCAAAAATAAATAAATGTTTAAAAAAAAAAAATTAAAAAAATAAAAATAAATGACAGACACATGAAATCAAAGAA